TAAGTCATGGCAGGCAAGGCAGGGAAGACTGCCTTGATAGGGGGGTGGGCCAATGTTAAGATCTGATTCTGACATGGCCCCCTGTCGCCTAGTTATAGCCTAGGTAGGGCCAGAGTAGGGAAGGAGAACTCTTCATTCCTCCTGTTGAAGCTGTGCCACTGTGCATAAAAGATTCACAGGATTTAAAGGGAAAAGCCAGACTCCTGGATTATTATTGTTTTTATAGGAATACTTCTAGAAGCAGGAGGCCTCCCATCCCCCCCTCCCCACTGCCTTCTAGATGAGGCTCCTAACTACAGACCTAAAATGTCAGGCTCCTTCTTGCTTCTTTCCCTCCCAAGTATATTGATTTCCTTTCTGCACTGTGGTCAGGCTGCAACAAGGTAGGTGAAAGGTGAGAGTGTCATCATGCCAGCCTTGCCTGTGGTCTGATGGTTAAGACAACCTCCTGGAACAAGAGAGATGTAGGTTTATTCCTCTAGGTTGAGGAGGGCCTAGAGTCGGGTCTGGCCATGTTTTTAAAGAAAGTAGCAACAACTGCACTTTACCAAGGACCAGATCCTGACACAATGTAGTAGGTATACTCTGACCACATGTACCAGATCAGGTCCCCAAAGACTTATCTGCCAAGTTTCTGGATCTTGATCAGACTAAGGTGGGAAGTGGGCACCTAGAGTGGTCTAGGAATATTTAAAAACAGAACTACAGGTAACTAAGAAAATTTCAGGTCAAACTAGGAAGTGCCTTGGAGTGCAGACACCTTCAAAGCAAAGACATCACTGAGTGGGATTTTTTTCTATTTAAATTGCACATTCAGATCCTGTTTTAGGCATCTAAATTCTTCCTTTCCACCCTCTCGCCACAATTATTTAAACATGCAAAACATATAAGTACAACTACAAATGTCAATAAATAAATATATTATTTACTAGAGCTCATAATGACCATGCTTCATCTATAGCAAGGGTAGCGCACCTGTTGCACAGGCAGCCCGTGTAGCATGGGACCGATCAGGGAAGGGCCAGGCAGCACAGCACCAGCTAGGGCAGGAAGCAAAAAGCAGAGAAGCAGATTGGGCAGAAGGAGATCAAAGTGGCACTCAGAAAGGGTGCAGGGCTAATTTCTGTCATACCGGCCCAAAAAGACTGGCTTCTGCTGATCTATTATAGTATTAAATGCAGTGCCTGTGTTTATTTACTGAGCCTACATAGCTTGCTCACTCTACTTTCTCACTTAGACGTATGCTGTTGTATATAATACAGCACAAATGGTTCTCTAGCACACTGTGCCATTGTTTTTATTTTAATTCACAACTGCTGAAAAGTAGTGGTTGCCAGCCCTGGAAACTGAATACTTATGGTCCTCCACAAAAGAAAAACTATGCAGAAACCAACATTGCAATCTTTTATGTAATACTCTTCCAGTATCCTTTAACCCTGATTTGGAAGAGTCATCTCTACTAATGAAACCTTAATCTCCATGTTCATTCCATTCTTGGCTTCTGCTAATGCCAAATTTGAGCCCCAAGCTGGAGGGAAATTTTCTGTCTAGAGAGCTCTTGATTTTCTCACCTGTTCATTTTTTTTTCTTCCAGTACTCTACTTTTCCACCACTGGCTTTGGCAACAGTGTGAGAAAGCTGTTTACTTCTGGCACACTTTTCATCCCCAGTTGCCCTCTTGATCAGCTCTCCCTTCTTCCCCCAATAGGCACAAAACAAGAGTGATAAACTCTTTATTTCCCTATTTAGCTCCTCACTGTAGTACTAATTTCAAGGCACACTATCATGGGAATTGATCAGAGTGACTGATGTAAAGAAGGCTTTTGGTATGTAACACATTAAGGATAGGATAGGTAGGATAGAAGCTGTTCCCCTTTTGTGCTCTCTCATGTCTTCCATCTGCTTAATTGGTTTCTTTTTCCTCATCATACTGTTTATTCCCTACATCCTTAATTGCCTCCTCTCACTCTTCCTTCAGTCTCTACCAAGACTTTCTGAGGGCAACCACTACTTCCCTTATAACAAGTTAGACCCCAAACCACTTTCAGAGAAGTCCAGAAGTTGCTCCTACACTTCCCTCTTCAGTGGATGCAGGCCTTTTTATGCAATAAAGAATCTATATGATAGTGATTCTCAACTAGGGTGCCACAGCACCCTGGGGTGGCTCGAGTTCCTTTTAAGGGAGCTTCCTAACCATCTTGCATTTATTGGTGCTTTAGGCTTTGGTGTACCTGTTCATCAGTTGTGCGCTTGTGTGACATGTTTGTATTTGGTCATGGCTACACAGAGATCAGCTTTTGTGATCAGGTAAGTCTGCACTTCTTGTGATTGTTTCTTCCAGATATGATATAATTTGAGGAAAGGAAGGAAGTATTAGGTGTTAGCTGTGGATGTCGAGGCCAATTAACTGGGGGGGTGGAAGTACTATAGCAAGCAGCAAAGCTCGAAAGTTGTACCTCAGGAAGGTGGTAGGTGGAATATAGGTGAGCATGCATCACAGACTGCTATTAATTTGGCTGACAGAAGGGTGTAGGTCTTGTTTTGATGTAGCACTGATATCTGGAAGTGGGAAGAATTATACCCTTCTTCTTGTACTAGCATGGTGTATTCTGCATTTACCTAATGATTCTGCATGCATGAATAGACACAGCAGTTATACCAATATTATACTGGTATGAACTGTTCCAGTATATCTGTTACATCTTCCTGTTCCTACACCAACGTAAGTGAAACTAAGCCACTTGTGAGCAAGTATCTAAGTAACTTACTAGAGGCCCTTGGCTACCTCCACTACCTTCATCTATTCCCATCTGTTTTGTGCCTTTATCCTCCAGTCGTGCACATATAATTTCTGTAGGTCTGTGGAGCTAAACCACTGGAACTTTGAACCTGAACAAATCAGGTTTAAAGCTCCAGTAGTATATGTACACTTATAGTGAACAGACATAAGAATTCATTCAGAGCAGCTGATGCATGTTCTCAAGTGGCAGTCCTACTTCTCCTTTTAATATGATTTACATGCAGGCAGTAGTATGCGTTACAGAAATCCAATATGGAGGTGACAAAGACATGGAAAGCTGTGTGCCAGAAAGGGGAGATTACAACCTCTAAAATTAGGTAACTGAGATAACTCACTCTAGTAATCAATGTTGCTCGAGAATCCTAAACTAACCAAATTCTCAAGTACAAAGAACGTTGAGGGGGAAGATGAGGGCAGAGGATACACCGGACCGGCACCCGCAACTATAGCCCAGCCCGGACCGGCAAGCTCAGCGGACAAACAGGTAAGAGATGGGGACAAGGGGATCGCTGGGACTAGGGGGTCAGTAACCACATCTCCAGGAGGCCTGAAATGCCTCTACACTAATGCCCATAGCATGGGGAACAAGCAGGAGGAACTTGCCCTCCAGCTGGCTGACACCAGCCCGGACATTGTGGGGATTACGGAGACTTGGTGGGACTCCAAGCATGATTGGGCGGTGAATGTTGAGGGCTATAGGCTGTACAGGAGGGACAGGATAGGAAAGAGAGGGGGAGGAGTGGCACTCTA